AAAAGGACAAAGTAAACATAGTGGGAGACATTATTACTGAAAGAATTCAATAACATTTCTTAGACTGAGGATCATGAGTTTCCTGATTGAAGGGGACCACCTGATTGAAAATGATCAGCCCAATGGATCAATATAGACCCGCCCCAAGGCAAATGATGGGGATAGTTCAGGACACTGAGAACAAAGAGAAGGGCCTACAAGCTTTCAGAGTGGGGTGGGGGGACCAAAAACTGTTTACATACAAAGAAAGGGGTAAGAGACAGAATGACTTCAGGTTTCTCAAATAGCAATTCTGCAGGGAAACACTAATGGAAAATTACTTACTTTCTTTTTTTTGGCAGCTGGCCAGTATGGGGATCCCAACCCTTGACCTTAGTTTTATAATACTGTGTTCTAATCAACTGAGCTAATCGGTTAGCCTGAGAAATTACTTTCAACCTAGAACTCTAAACCCAAGCAAACAATCAAGTTCCAATTTTTCAAATCTTAAGAGAGGAATTGATTGGTCAAAAAGTGGGGTATTCAAGAAGATGGCAGCTCTCAGACCACATTTGTGGCCATCGTGACGAAGCAGCTTTTCAAAAGAAGACTCAACCCCCAAGGAGCTCAAATCTGAGAGAGAGAGAAGTCTGAGACAGCTCCTTTGGGGACTATGCTAGGTCAACGCCAAACAATAGAAATACAATGTGAACCACATGTGTAATTTTAAATTTAAAAAAGGAAAAAAAAACAACAACAGGTAAAATTAAATTTAATAATTTATTTTTTTTAACCCAATATTATCATTTCAATATGCAGTCAGTAAAATCATATTAATAAGGTATATTGCATTTTTTTGTTCAAAGTCTTCAAAATCCATCTAGTGTGTATTTTACACTCATGGCACATTTTAATTTGGACTGGCCACATTTCCAGTACTTAGTAGCACATGTGGTTAGTGGCTACCATATTGGACAATACAGTGCTAGAAAGTAAAAAATGATGAATAAAAGGCAGCAATTGGATTTTAGTAAATAAGAATTTGTAGCAGATCTGGGCTGCATAGATTTTTTTTTTTTTAATTTTAGTTTTTTTCTGCATGGCTCTTTTTCTTTCCGAAGCCGTGATCTTTGCTCCAGGAAGTAGTTGGAAGGTATTATTTAGACAGAGCTGGTAATTAATTGATGGTTAAAGTAGAAAGTCAAGGGAATTAGTGCATTTTGGGTGGTGATAACACTATTATCTTGACTATGTCGGAAGACCTGAGTAAAATGGAACAATTAGTTTTCTTAGTAAGAAAACAAAGAGCAGGTTCAGTAAGAATAGGGAAGTGAATGAAATGACAAGAAAAAAAAGGGTTTTGGTTAGATTGGGAAAGGGGGATGGTAACTCTGTATCTCAAAAATGGTGTAACACTGTGTGGGGTTGTGCTGGACTTTGAATGAAGGGAGTGGAGATGAAAGTCAGTGTTAGAAAAAGTCAGGAAAGAATGAGATCAAAGATCTGCTTGTTTCATGATGGATGCTGAAGTCATGAGATGATGATTTTGTTTTTCCTAATGGAGTACTGGTAGCCCTCATGGCCACTGAGTGCAGAGAAGAGCGTGGGGCTTCCGTGATGTAAATAAGTGGTGTGGGAGTTGCTGAGGTCATCCCTGCATCTTCCTCCGAAGAAGTCCATAATCTGGGACCTTCTCTTGCCTCTCTAGTCTTGTTTTCTGATTAAACACACACACACACACACACACACACACACACACACACACACACACACACACACGTGCACTATTTGTAAAATTCGTACAATACAAAAAAATGTAGAAAATAGAAGTCCTCAGTAATTTAATTCCCTGTCCTTAAATAATTACTATTAACTTTTTTGTCGTATATCCTTCCAGAAAATTTCCTATGCATATATATGCCTATTTTATAGATAGTAAAATTTTGCCCAATATCTTTTACCAGTTTATCCCTTGACTTTCAAGGATAAAATTTCTAAATTTCAGAAAGTAAAGATTTTGATCTTTTCTTTTTCTTTGTCTGACTTTGGTCTTATTCAAAGATGGGCTCTCTACCCTAAGATTATACGAACATTCTCCTGTATTTACTTCTAGTGTTTTTACGATTGTGGGGTTTTTTTTCAGTATTTAGATTTTTATCCACATGGAATGTATTTTTGTATGTGGTGTAAGTACTATAGAAATTTTAAATATAGAGTTTAAGTGCTAGAAATAACTTTAATTTCTCTGCTTTTTTTTCATCACAGGGAAGCACTTGGAGAATATTTAGATGGGAAGAAGGAGAGTGAGGAAGATCAAAGCAAGAGCCACAAACAGAAAGAAGAAAGTCGATTGGTATGAACTGGTTAGCAAATGGGTCCTGTTTGTCCTGGAAGGCTAGAGCTGGGTGTGACATCCTGGCTTTCACACTTAGACTGGAAGGAATCATGCATTCCATGTGGCTGTGTCTAGGCGGAGCTGAATTGGAATCTTTCCCATTTGACAGCTCGCTGGGCATGACCTTTCATATTCTAGTTTCTTATATTTATTCTGTCTCTTCTCTGTTCATGCACTTTTAATGATTATTCACTATTCACAGGATAAAGTCCAGATGTTTTAGCAGGATTTTCAAGGCCTCTGGTGATCTATTCCCATCTTAATTTTGCAATCTTACCTCGCATCGTTACCTAATCTGGGCTGTTCACTTAGGCTAGGCTGACCCATTCTCTCACCTCCAGTGGGTGTTCATCCCTGCACTGGGCCTTCGGTCATCTGGAATATGCCCCTCTCCCTCATTCTCCTCTTCTTTCCTCTTCTCCTCCCCCTTTTTCTTCTTGTCTCCTCTCCTCAGACTACCTTCTCATCCTTTAAGACCATCTCAAGTCCCAGCTCCTCCTTGCGTTCTTCCTCAGCCCAGCGAATGCTCCTTTAATCCATGCATTGAATACTTCTCGTCTGTATCATCTGTTTCATTTTAAATAGTTTCTGACCTGTGTGTTTTTTCAAATGTGTGTGCATGGAGTGTCCCCGATGAAACTGTTAGCTTATGAGAGTGAGAGTGTCTTTCTGTAGCTGTAGAGTAGTGCATAGCTTGTACTCAATACATATGAAAAAGGAGATTGCTTATTGCTCTCCCATGGCAGTGAGAAGGCTCCTGGGATATTTAATAAAGGACTTGCAACAGAGGTACAGGAGGGATAAAGAGCAGTTGAAAACAGCAAACCAGAACTGGCAAAATGCTGCATTTAATTAATGCTAAATGAAATACATTGATGGTGATACTATGTGAATTAAGATGTGGAAAAGAACTCACCAAGCTGCCTGGTCAGGGAAGGTTATATGGAGAAAGTGGAATTTCAGCTAAGTCTTAGAAAAATACGTGGGATTTTTAAAAGCGGAAAAGAGAGAGATTACTTCTGGCAGAAATAAGTGTACTTTCTGGGAGAAAAAATATTCAGGTTACTGAAATATTAGTTTAGAGCATAGAGATATATAGAGAGGAATGAATAACCTGTACTGTGTCAGGGAAAAGATACTTTACTGAAGTAGAAAGAATGTTGGATTGATGTGGGTTCCTGTTTCAGATCTCTTGCTACTGTGGAGTAGATGATTCATGGCACTGTTTGTACTTAGGTTTCTTCATTTGAAAGTCAGTCATCTCTGAGCATTTCTGTGCAGGATAAAAGGATATTGGAGTTTTTTTTTTTTTTTTTTCCCTTGGTGACTGGCTTGTAGGGGGATCCAAACCCTTGACCTTGGTGTTATCAACACTGCACTCTACTGAGTGAGCTAACTGGCCAGCCCTAGAGTCTTGAAAATACTGATACACAGTTCATCCTGAGCACTCTTTGAGTGTAAAACTGAAGAGGTAATATTGTTTACATGATCAGCTTTTCAAGGTTCCTTTCACTTAGGACTTAAGTAGCAAAGAGTATTGGCATTGAGGAGAAATGTGTACAAAAAAATGCTACCTTCCTCAATTTCAAGGTACTGATGACCAGTTCTGACCTAAGACCTGGGCAGGCTGGGCCCTGCCTTCCTCAAGTTCAAGGTACTGATGACCAGTTCTGACCTAAGACCTGGGCAGGCTGGGCCCTGCCTTTGGCCCTGCACTGTATCAATCAATTTTTAAATGGGAATTCCTTTTGTGTCTTGTTTAATCTTTGTCTACTTCAAGTTTGTGAAGATAATTCTATATTTTCTTTGAGCTTTATTTTCTGTAAGTTTTGTCATTGTACCATTTACTATTTTACTATTTACATTTCAGTCTATTATCTACTTGGAATTGATTTTTGTGTATGGTGGAAGGGTAGGGCTCAAGGTTTATTGTTTTCTATATAGATTTTTAATTGACCCAACATCATTTATCAAAAAGATCATTCTTTTCCCACTGCATTGCAGGGTACCTTTGTTGTGAATCAGGTGATTATACACAAGGTTACTTCAAAAAGTTTGTGGAAAATGGAATTAAAAGATAATATTAACCTTTCCTTGAACTTTTTGAAGACCCCTTGTATGTGTGAGTTTGTTTCTAGCTTTTCTGTTCTGTTCCATTGGTGTATTTGTCGGTCCTTATACCAATTCCACACTGTTTTAATTCCCGTAGCTTTGTGACAGGCCTTGATATGTGGTAAGGTAAGCCCTCCAAATTTGTTCTTCTTCTAGGTTGTTGGCTATTCTTGACCCTTTGCATTTTCATGTAAATTTTAGAGTCAGCTTGTCAATTCCTACCAAAAAAACCTGCTGGAATTTTAATTGAAATTGAATTTAATTTATAATCTATGAGCATAAAATATCCTTCCATTTATTTAGGTATTTTTAAATTTTGCTCAGCAATGTTTCATGCAGTTTGTTGAGGTTATATCATTCACTGTTGGTATATAAAAGTATAGTTGGTTTTTAATATATTGACCTGGTATTCAGTGACCTTGCCAAATTCACTTGTTCATGCTAATAGTTTACATATATAATTATATCATCTGAAAATAATGACAGTTTTATTTCTTCCTGTTCAATTTTTATACCTTTTATTTCTTCTTCTTGCCTTATTGCATTTAGATAGGTCCTCCAGCCCATTGAATAGAAGTGGTGATAATGGGGGCCTGTGACCTGGTCTGGCCCTCCTCTGGATGCACCCCTTCAGGGGGACTTGCCCCAAGCCCATCCCGTGCTCAAATTCCTCTTTTATTTTTTATTTATTTATTTATTTTTTGTCATTTTTGAGACCGGCCGCACTGCGCTCAGCCAGTGAGCGCACCGGTCATCCCTATATAGGACCTGAACCTGCGGTGGGAGCGCTGCTGCGCTCCCAGCGCCGCACTCTCCCGAGTGCGCCATGGGCTCGGCCCTCAAATTCCTCTTTTAGATCACTGAGTATCATGAAAACCAAAATTCCCTGCCCAAATGGTTGTGAGCCCACCTTCAAGGCCTGCATGGTCCTCTTTCCAAGGTCTGTCCTGCTCAGGGCAGAAAAGGCCAGTGTTGTGCAACCCCTAAGCCTGATGGATGGCTAAGGAGTGTACATAGAGCTTGGATGTGCAGTTTGGGAAATCCACATGCCTGCAGGACAGAACGGGGGATGGTCTGCAGGCTGGGGGCCAGAAGCTGCCTCTGCCTTAGCCACCCAGCTCTGAGTGGAACTCAAAGGTCTGAATTCAAACTGGGACTTGTAAATTGTTATGAAGGTATCCCAGGTATGAGGATAGAGTATGCTTTAACAGTTTTTATATGGTATGGTATTGTAATTTTTAAACATTTAGACATATGGTATGTGAACCTCCATTTAAACTCTTCCCCAGGATCTCATAAATGTTAGGGGTGTGTGTGTCTGTTGATCTGTGGGTGAGTATAACATTTTGATTTTTCATTTTACTTTGAGTCTTAAATTCTTGGTTCAGAAATTTCTGATGTTCGCATTGTCTGAGCAGAAAATAGAAAGTTGCTTTAAACTGCAGGAAAGTCATTATTTCCCTTATGCACGTGAGACCATTTGCTACAAGTGGTAATGCTGCAGGCATTTAAAAAAAAATCTGAAGTGTCCTGGATATCTGAGTTAAGGCTCTGTTCTGCATTCATTGAAACTACATTTCAAAATTTCCATAGAGTAGGGAAATGAAATGGAATCTTTCGTCATTTCAGTGACTCCTTGGTACGGAGGTATTTATAGGTTCTTAGTTCTAAAATAATTTGAAAGTTGGAGAGTTTATACGTTCCAAAGCACTTAGTTAAGTTACACTGAGAGTTGCAGAATGCTATTAAACTGTAATCTAGAACATTCCATCACAAAATGTCCTGATAGAAATGCGTAGCTGAATAAATGCTAGTCTTAAAAATCTTAAAATAGCTATTGATTCCTGCTTGAATGGCAAGAAGAGCTGTAGACAGTTATGCAAAATGTTTCTTTCTTTTTTTTTTTTTTTCCTTTTTTGTCTTTTTTCGTGACTGGTAACAGGATCGCAACCCTCGGTGTCACGCCCGCACTGCGCTCAACCAGTGAGCGGACTGGTCTCTATATGGGATCCGAACCCTCGGTGGGAGCGTCACTGCGCTCCCAAGCACCGCACTCTACTGAGTGCGCCACCGGGCTGGCCCTATGCAAAATGTTTCTAATTTTATAAATTCTTCACAGAGCGTTCTAACTTTATAAATTCGTATCTCTGTTTTCAGAAATTGGCTAAACTGCTGCTCTGTGGCACGGAGTTTGTGACAAATATCCAAGTGGCTACAGATATCAGAGAGATCCACAGGAGAGTTGAAGAAGAGGAGATAAAGCGTCAGAGGTAAGAAGCCCTCTGTTCTGTAGCCTGGTGGATGTGAAAGTAATCACCCCTATAGTCCCTAAATTGTTGGAAAGTGGCTTTGCTCAATTTAGTCTAGTAGAATCCCCTTCCTGCCTGTGATCAGTCCTCAGTCTGTCCCTCCTTCTTTCCCTCCCTCCCCCTTCCTTCCTTCCTCCTCCCTTCCTCAAGCATTACCTTGCTGATATGTGGCGAACTGTGTGGACACAAAAGGAGTGGAAAGTGGCCTCTGCTTTTGATGTTGTTCACAGTCTAGTCAAGATAGACATGGAAACACGTGTCCATAGTGTGTGTTAAAATAAAGGTATGTGTAAAGAGTTGTGGAAACACACATGAGGAAGCCTTTAATTCTCTTTGGAGAGATTAGAGAAAACTTCCCAGGTGAGGTGACATTTGAGTTGGGCCATAAGAGATGAATAGGAGTTTGAGGAATTGGGGAGGAAGCACTTTAAGCAGAAGGAACGTTTGAGCAGAGGCTTGAGATCATGTGACAAGCTTGGGCATGGCATGGTGATGAAAGATGTGTGCGGGGTGTGTGTGTGTGTGTGTGTGTGTGTGTGTGTAAGCCAAGAGATGAGGCCGAGAAGGTCAATGGGCAGTCCTGCGTTTAAATTGATCAGAATGACCAGACCCACACACATCTCAGTGTTAAGCAGCATATGAAAGAATATTATAGACTCCATACCTAGAAGGATACAGTGTCAGAGGGATAACAAGAACCCGTGCCAAACCCTTGGCTCCAGGCCTCAGAAAGCAGATTGCTTTGCACGCCCATCTCCCCAGGTGTCAGGCTGCCCAACACGGGGGCAGAAGCTGCTTAGTTCTGCATACAGAAGTGGACTGAGAGCAGGAACAATGGTACTCATTTTAACTTCTACTTTGGATTGTTCTTCAACTGATTCCTTAAATACAGTTCAATTAGAAGAGGAAACACTTGACCATTTTAGTTCATCTCACCATATATATATATATACACAGTATGATTTTAACATCTGTAGTTGTTCAGCACAAGTAGTTCCCCCATAAGCAACTTTACCAGGTCTACCAGTATATAATCGGTGACTTTATTTTTGAAATTTCCCACTGCCTCTTATGGTCTGTGCCAGAAACTGAATTGGCTGGTCCCCAGCAGGGTCAGCTAGTGAAAGGCCCTGAATGCCGTGCTAGTGAGCTAGACTTCATCCTACAGCCACTGAAGAGAAATTGAAGGTCTTAAGTGGCAGAGTTATAAGATAAATGTGAGTTTTGGAAACATGACCTGGAATTCTCATTGCTTGAAATAAAAAGGTCAATTAAATTATAATATGTGCTAAGTGCCCTAGCTTGGAAGGTGGGGCAGAGGATGGAAAAGGGAAAGAGAGACAGGATCACAAGATGTTAAGTTGTGACTCTTGTCCTTACGGGGGTTTGTGCTCTTGTTTGGAGACAATCTCATAAAATTAATCTGTTAAAATTAGGAGAGGGTCTCTGGCATATGTTCTAACCATTTTTTGCAGAAGGGACCTCTCATCTTGTCTCTTATGCCTTCCTTCCATCCAATCCAATCCTCAGCATACTCTATCACAGAGTTTCTTTGGAATTTCTGGAAAGATCATCCCTATTTTCCATTACTAATGGTGGAGTTTCTCTATTTGTACATTCCACTGGTCATTTATTGGTAACTTGGGAGAGGAATGGCCAGACACTTGAGGTCATGTTGCTAATAAAAATTAATAATTTAAATACCATCTGTTAAGTGACTATCATGCTGGGTACCTGTGCTGCGTATCATCTTATTTAATGCTGACAAGAGATGTATGAAGGTAGATACTTTGATCCTTTCCATTTTACAGATGAGAAAAATGAGGCTTGCAGAGATTAAGCAGCTTGTCTAAGCTTGAGAGTCAGTAGCAAAGTCAGGACTTGAACACAAGCTGTGTGACTCTAGTGACCAAGTGTTTATGGTTGTCACTATCTAACTCAGAAGTATGTGACCAATTGACTCTTGTCATATATGTGCGTATGTGTATGTATATACGTACATATGTATAGCCTTAATGTTGATCTGTTTTTATTATGTGTCACTTTGTTTATTTGGTCTAAGTTACCACAGTCCAGTATTAAACTAAAAGAAGATTTCTCAGAGTTTGTTTTGGTTTTGGATGGTGTTTCAGTGCCAGTGCCTGAGCCCCATATTATAGACTCTAGAGAACCTGCCTGCTCTATTGGAAGGTGGCATCTGGAGCTGGGCTGACACGGCTGGCATGTTTGTGTTTGCAGAATTGAGAAACTGGAGAATGAGGTTAAGACCAGCCAGGACAAATTTGATGAAATCACTGCAAAGTGGGAGGAGGGCAAACAGAAGAGTATTCCCCAGGACCTGTGGGACGTGCTCAACACTCAGCAGCTGCACTGTGCTGGGCTGATAGAAGACAAAAACAAGCTTATCAGCGAGTTACAGCAGGCAAGAGGCCCCGGCCACCCCGTCTCAGCCACGTGGGGTCTGCAGGGGGCATTTAACTGGGTTATTGGTTTGCTTTTTCTGAGTGGAAAAATGGGGAGGCCTTACTTTCTTTACTTAGAATGCTGCACAGCTCAAGTGATAAACTTTTTTTCTTTATTTTTTTATTACAGTAATAAACACATAACATGAAATTTACCATCTTAACCATTTTTAAGTGTACAGTTTAGTAGTGTTAAGTATATTCAGATGGGTGCTATAGAATTTTTTAATCTTGCAACACTGAAACTCTATACCCATTAGACACTAATTCCTTCTCTCCCCGTCTCCCAGCCCTTGGCAAACCACCTTTCTCCTTTCTGTTTTTATGATTTTGACTGTTTTAGATAGTGGTTTCATACAAGTGGAATCATGTATTTGTCCTTTGATGACTGGCTTATTTCACTTAGCATAAAATGTCCTTGAGGTTCATTCATGTTGTTGCATGTGACAGGAATTCCTTCTTTTTTAAGGCTGCATAATGTCCACTGTATGTATATAGCACATTTTCTTTGTCCATTCTTCTGTGGATGGACATCTGGCTTGCTTTCACCTCTTGGCTATTGTGAATAATGCTGCTATGAACATGGGTATACACATGTCTCTTTGAGATCCTACTTTGAATTCCTCTGGATTTATATCTAAAAGTGGGATTGCTGGATCATCTGGTAATTCTTTATTTAACTTTTTTAGGAAACTCTATGCTGTTTTCCATAATGGCTGCACTAGTTTGCGTTCCCACCAACAGTACGCAAAGCTTCTAACTTCTCCACCTCCTTGCCAGCGCTGATTAGATCCTGTTCTCTTGATAGTGGCCATATTTATGGGTGTGAGGTGACATCTCACTGTGGTTTTGATTTGCATTTCCCTAATGTTTAGAGATGTTGCGCATCTTTTTCGTGTACTTATTGGTCATTTGTGTGTCTTCTTTGGAGCAATGTCTATACAAATCCTTCGTCCGTTTTTAAGTTGGGTTATTTGGTTTTTTGTTGTTGAGTTGTAGAACTTCCTTATACATTTTCGATAATAATCCCTTATCAGATACATGATTTCCAATTATATTCTCCCCTTCCATATGTTGTCTTTCTACTCTGTTGATTGTTTCTCTTGATGTGTAAAAGCTTTTGAGTTTGGTGGAGTCTCATTTGTCTATTTTTGATTTTGTTGCCTGTGCTTTTGGCATCATATCCAAGAAATCATTGCTAAATCCAATTTCCTAAAATTTTTCCCCTATGTTTTCTTCTAGGAGTTGAATAGTTTTAGGTTTTACATTTAGGTTTTAACCATTTTGAGTTAATTTTTGTATATGATATAAGGTAAGAGTCTAACATTATTCTTTTGTGTGTGAATATCCAGTTTTCCCAATACCATGTGTTGAAGAGATTGTCCTTCCCCTGTGTATAGTCTTGTCAAAACTCATTTGGCCATATATTCAGGATTTATCTCTGGGCTGTCTGTTCTGTTCCTTTGATCTATCTATCTACCAGTACGTCAGTACCAACCTAATCTTAATTGTTGCTGTGTTGTAGTATGTTTTGAAATTAAGGACTATGAGGCCTCCAACTTTGTTCTTCTTTCTCAAGATTGTTTTGGTGATTTGGGGTCCCTTGAGATACAAATTTTAGGATAGCCTTTTCTATTTCTGAAAAAAAAATGACATTGGGGTTTTGATAAGAATTGCATTGAATCTGTAGATCACTTTGGATAGTATGGACATTTTAATGATATTGAGTTCCAATCCTTGAGCATAGGATGTCTTTCCACTTGTTTATATCTTTGATTTCTTTTAGCAATATTTTATAGTTTTCAGCATACAAGTCTTTTGCTTCCTTGGTCAAGTCTATTCGTAAGTATTTTATCCCTTTTGGTGCTATAGTAAGTAGTATTATTTTCTTAATTTTCTTTTTGGATTGGTCATTATTAGTATAAAGGAATGGAACTGATTTTTGAGTGTCGATTTTGTGCCCTGCCACTTAGCTGAATTTGTCTTTTAGTTCTAACAGTTTTTTTTTTTTTTGGTGGAGTCTTTAGGTTTTCTACATATAAGATCATGTCATCTGTGAACAGAGATATTTTAACTCTTCTTTTCCATTTTGGATGGCTTTTCAAGTCATAAACTTTTAACCAGAAGGAAAAGCTTTGTAGTAATTTTAGATCTATTGGCTACCTAATAGAAAGATGTACTTTTACAGCAAATGCCATTTCAGATTTTATGTTTTTAGTTAAGGAATGGAACTTAGTCTGCAATAGATATGTTCCCATGTTGGAACCTGGACATTAATTGCTCAGCTAGGACACTTTAGGATTTCTGGGAGCTTGCAGGGAGATTTGCAGCAAGTGATAATTGAGGAGTTTGATCCTGTGCACTTGTTCAGATTTTTGCCCTGAGCTGAGGCTATCCTATTCCATCTACTTGTGCTTTTTCCTGGGCCTTCTCAGACTCTTCTGAAGCCACTTTCTCTTTGTACAGTTTTTTTTTTCCTTTTTTTTTGTCTTTTTTCGTGTCCGGCAATGGATCGCAACCCTCGGTGTCGCGCCCGCACCAGACCGGGACCGGCAACGGGATTGCAACCCTCCGTGTCGCGCCCGCACCTCGCTCAGCCAGTGAGCGGGAACCGGTCTGTATGTGGGATCCGAACCCTCGGCAGGAGCGCCATCGCGCTCCCAAGCGGCACACTGTAGCAGCAGTGCGCCACCAGGCCGGCCCTCTTTGTACAGTTTTAATTCCTAATGTTTACAGATTCTGATGAGGGGGGTCCAGGGGGAACATGCTTGGCACCTTTTCTGTCTCATTTTGTGACAAACCTTTTACATGCTCTTTTCTAGGAGTTAAAAACAAAGGATGACCAGTATGTGAAGGATTTGAAGAAACAGTCAGATGACATCTGCCTGCTTCTGGAGAGGATGGAGGAACAAGTGAAGAATGTAATGAAAAGCTTCCGTCAGGAGCTCCATCACATCGAGGTAATGGGGTGTGAGGAGACCTGCTTTCTGCATGCAGGAGCCCCTGAGCAGAGGGCTGGATCTGTCCTAGTGATCTACGGAGGGTCCTAGATGTCTCCTTTGATGTTGGTCTCTGCTGTAGGATTTCATTAATTTATGTACTCATTCATTCACTCATTCAGCAAGTATTCATCAGATGTCTGCTGTATGCCAGGCACTGTTCCAGGGTCTGGGGACACAGCCATGAGCAAAACAAAGTCCCCAGTAGAGCCTGTGTTCTAGTAGGAGACAGCTAGACAATAAACAAATAAATGACTACATATATAATTTGACAGGTGGTAATAAGCGTTTTATTTTTTATTTTATTTTATTTTATTTTTTCCTTTTTGTCTTTTTTACTGACCGGCAATGGGATCGCAACCCTCGGTGTTGCGCCCGCACCACGCTCAGCCAGTGAGCGGGAACCGGTCTCCACATGAGATCCGAACCCTCGGCAGGAGCGCCGCCGCGCTCCCAAGCGGCGCACTCTCCAGTGTGCCACCGGGCCGGCCCGGTAATAAGCGTTTTAAAAGAGAGTAAGGCAGGTAAAGGGGTTGAGGAGTGAAGGAGGGAGGTTAGTACTCCATTACCATAAGGCATATGTGAGCCATTTATTTGG